CTGGTCTCTCGCGCCCCCCCTGTCATGCCTCTGCGCCCCCCTGGGGGGGCGCGCCCCCCCACTTTGAGAACCACTGCCCTAATGTAAGGGACTGTAGTAAAATGATTAAAGTGGTGAGGGTACTTTTTAAAACAAAATATATACATAAGAAATAATCTCCCCAAGGTTAATCGTGATTTCCTTGAACCCTTTTTTTTTTTTATAAAAACTGCTAAATCCTTTAGAAAACATATTATAAAACAAATATTAAACTGTCACATTTGTACGACTTCCCCTTGACCCACCCTTGGTCTGTGAGTCGTGTACCAAGATGTACAGGGAAACCAGGTTCAGAATGTTTTGACAATGCAAATATACTCTAGCTTATTTTTGTCAGGTGTAGCTAGTACTACTAGAATGAGTTGTTCTTAAGTACAGGTTTGTTTTTTTATTGTTGTACCAATATAAGAAAATGCCAATAAATATATTGTGAAAATAAAAGCAAGCAAAAGGCCACGCTCTCTCTAAATGTACAGAAAACGAGATATGTTAGGGTCAGACTTAGTGACAAAACAGATTTAAGTGGGGTCTTTGTAAAAACTTTTATTTCAGATTTATAGATGTACAAACTAAGTAGAGGTGCAACTAATTGTTATTTTTCCTGTGGACATTTTTTTATTAAAACGAAGCAACTTTTACATTTTATATATCTAGCTGAGTGTGGAAAAAGTTGTTCCAACTTTTTTAGCTCAGTGTTTTAGTTGTTGTACCTAATAGCTGGTTTCTAGTCAGGCAGCTGTTTTGATGGAAAAAGGCCAAAGTACAATACCTGGTCAGCACCCAACTGCAGACACACACGCTAATAACAGACCAACACACATATCATTTGCACGAGACCCAACCAAGAGCTAAAAGGGAATACATATTTGACAAACTCAAGACCCACCTTTTTAACTTAGCTTAACTGAATTGCATTTTATTCTTTTTATCATTCTTTGTTTTTTCTATTCCTATGTTATTCAGTCCTGTGTTGGTATTAAGTGTTCTTTTTCATCACAAAGCTATGTGATACTCTGGTTATAACCTGGGAAGGGGAAGATAGTATGGTTTGTAAATTGTCTATGAGTGTGATTTGTGAAGCACTTTGAGTTACCTTTGTGTATGAAAAGTGCTGTATAAATAAAGTTTGATTTGATTTAACTTGTATGGACACAGAACCAGTACAAATGAATGACCATGTGCTGTGTGTATGTGTAAATGTTTGATAAATCATTCAGCATGTTCAATTTTGAGGTTATTATATGTTAATGTTTAATGTTCAGTTTGTTTTGTTGTGGCCAAAAACAATACAGTAATGCAGCATCGAGTCATTTAAAAGGCAGAGAACAGTAAAACATGAAACCATTTTGACTTACAAAACAGTTCTTTGTCACAGGCTGGGGTTGGGGGGGGGTCCAGCTGTGGAGGTCAGGTGGTCTCAGGGCTCTTTCTGTGTGACAGCAGGCGGGCTCATCAGCTCCAGAGGGGTGGAGGAGACGGTGCAGATGGACTGGGAGTACTGAGCCTCCTCCTCCTCACAGAGCTCCTCGCTCAGGGTCAGCTCACTGAGATGGAGTCCTTCCAGCTCTGCATACTGGGGCCCAGAGAAGAGCCTAATCACCGCACAGACCCGGGGAACCTGCAGGAGTGTGTCCTTCAGAGTAATGATCACCACCAGGCCCCCCAGCAGGTAGCCTGTGGACAGACCAGAACACATTCAGCATTTTTCAATGACAACCCATTACTCTGGTGTCTCTCAACCAGAAACGCATGAGCATGTATTAAATGTGTGACAAAGACAACAGAGTGGGGAAAAATAAATTTCCTTCAAGAGGGGATAATAAAAGACTCCTTATTAATAGCCTAATTGCCAGATTGTGAACCCGGAAATGTTGAGTACCCCAGAGTGTTATGTTAGAAATGTATAGTAGGGTCCCCAGCACAGAAACTGCTGGATGCTAACCTGCATATGTTGGGCAGTTTGCACAGTTAGCATTAGTTGTTGAGGATGCTGAATCCATGTCTGATATTTCAAGGATCAGAAATTACAGTTTTAATCAGAAAATAGCCATATTTATAAGGAATTTGTGCTATAAAATGCATGTAGAGCAAATCTACATTCATCTTTAGGGTTACAATATCAAAAACATTGGCGAAGAGTGGAAAAGATATTTTGGGGGAATATGGACTGGAGGTCTCTGCAGGCCTGAAAGAAGTTGTCATGTAATCCATTCCACTTTTTGATTTTCAGTGTTACCTTCCTTCCATATATGCTAACATGAGGGCTAACTGTTATTAAAAGTTTTAGCACTGATCTTTTGTTAGCTTCAAAGCTGAATTTCTTTTTTTGTTTTAGTGTTTTTTGGCAAATGATCACTGCTTGCTGTTACTGAGCAGCTTTACAAATGGTTAATCAGTTGGTCAGAGTTCTCTTAGAACTGCTTCCTGCTACTGCTGGAAACAAGTGAATAAGTGCACCACCAAAACAAGGAGCTGAAAGAGGCTCAAACGCTCTGTGGAGGAGGGTAATGCTGAGTTGGTCCGAATTCTTTGTGAATTGATACAATATATCACAGCTAGACTCTAATATACTGTAAGCACCATTGTGATATTAACATAATAAAAACAAATGAATTATATAATTGTATTGTGTGACACTAAATTGAGTCAGCAAGAGGCTAAGTTTGGTTCTTCCTTGTGACCGATAAGCACACCATACTGAAGTTCTTTTTTTTGTGCGATCCAAGAAAACCTAACAAATCTTTACAGAATGACTGTACGGTCAACAAAACACATTGGAACCAAATCCCCCTCTTTGTCCATCACACAAGCCCGGCACACAGCAGGTGGACTGAATACCTTACACCACACCCATGTGACAGTAAGCGAGTTATTACAACTGTGTGTGGTGTAATCAAGTAATGATAACATTAGATGTCATCAACAATGGCTAGATAAGCATTTAGAAAGGACATTTGATCACATGCACTCACATGTGGTGAGGAGTTGGAGGGTCTCCTTGGCTGTCGGGCCCCAGCCTCTCCCCAGAGAGTCCCCCCCATAGCCCACAGTGCTCAGGATGAGGAAGCAGAAGAAGAGAGCGTCCAGGAAGCTCCAGGCGGGCTCCACCATGCAGACCAGCAGGGCGGGGAGGGGGAAGAGCAGGCAGAGGACCCCCACAGAGAGCAGCTCGGCGTGGACCCCCGCGGCCCGGCTGGAGGACAGACCCCAGACCCTCTGAAGGAGGTGCACAGGAGCGTGGGTGACCACAGGGAGGAGCAGGTGGGAGAGGAGGGTGAGGATGAGCAGGGTGAGGGGGATCCCCAGGGTGCAGTAGAAGATACAGAAGAGCTTGGCTTCATCAGAGGTGGGGGTGTAGTAGTCTGAACCTGAGAGGAAGAGAGGGAGAGGACTGCAGGGCTGAAGGCGAGGAGGTCAGCAAATAGAAGGTATTAGATATTCTGTGTCCTGGGGGAAACATGTATCAGACAGGTTCTGTGTCCATGTGTAGAATGGGTCTAATAACTGTTATAAAGGGGTAATAATGGTGTTCCATGGGTGTGATCGGGTGCATTAATGTGTAATATGTGCGTAACAGGGATGCAATAAATAATTGCTGTTACATGGGTGTAATATGGGTAAAATATGGGTGTGATAACAGAGTATTATGGTTGTAATACAGGGGTTACATGGGTGTATTCATGTGTGATAAGAGTGTGATATGGGTTTAATGTAGAAAATAGCAATGAATTACATTTCCAAAATATTGAATGCCCATCTAAGGGTTAGGGTGAAACCTCAAGCTTTGCAATGAATACATTATTTGTGTACTAAAAATGTCACAAAAAGGTCAAGAAATGTCCATCAAAATTGCCCATTACCCAAATTCATAAAGAAATAACAGTCCAAGTTGTAAAGATTACATTTACCTTGAAAGAAGACAGTACATACTCAGCGGAGAACAACAAATTCCGCACTAGAAATGATACATTAATATTATTTATCTTATCAAAATAAACTCTCCTTTTTTTCCCTGAGCCAACTTTTAGTTTTGATGCAACTTCAGTGATAATCATTAGTTGCAAATATTCATTAAGGTTCAGAAATGGTGCCCTGTAAATGGCAGTTTCTTAACAGTTTGTTAGAGTTTTACATTTTGAATGTTAAACCTAGCTGGTAATAAAAAAAAAGTCATGATCATGTCTCTGGGGACACTTTGACCCCATCAAGTGTAGAACTGCAATTATAGCATGAAACGCAAAAAGCTACCAGCAAATATTCCAAAAGATCAGCTGGATCCCGGGATGCACCGACTTAAATCTGTGTGAAGGGTTAGACATTGGAAAAATATGAAAATATGAGCAGGTTGCGGTTCTTTTTTCAATTCCTACAGGTTGGATCTTACCCATGGTTGTCAGGGTGACGATGACAAAGTAAAGTGAAGAAGTGAAATCATATCCTCTGTCCCCAGCGTCTGCCTTCAGGACGGCTACATCCCTCTGGTGAGCCGAGAGAGCTCTGTCCAGAAGCTCCACCAGACGGCCCCCCCGCACACAGGGGTTCTCCTGCAAGAAGGAGCGCCGCAGCTCCTCCACCTCCACCCTCAGCTGCTGCTCCACCGGCCCCTCCACCACCCAGAACACCAGACCCCCCAGCAGGATGAAGAGCAGGTAGCAGAGCAGCAGGCAGGGGAAGGCCTGGACCCGGCAGAACAGGGCCAGAGAGGAGAGGAGCCGGGCCATCACGGGCTCTGACTACGACCTGAAACCAGACACTGAGAGCAGGTTTAAATATTTAGAGAGGGAGAGCCGCTCACAGAGACAGGTGGAGAAGTAGCAGAGTGTAGGAATACTCTGTTACAAGAAGAAGTCCTGCATTCAAAATGTCACTCAAGTAAAAGTATCAGCATCAAAAATATCCTTCAAATACCAGTACTAAAGTAAATGTAGTCATTGTGCAGATTGGTCCATTTCAGAATAATATATATGATATGTTTTATAATGATTGATCATAAAAGTGTTCTCAAAGCTGGTAAAGGTGCAGCTAGTTTGAATGACTTTGTATACTGCAGGGTAGCTTGTGGATTTACTCCAGGTGGAACTAAAGTCTGATTCAACACTTGATTATATTTCACATCATTCATCCAGATCTGTAAAGTAACTAAAGGTATTAAATACATGTAGTGGAGTACAAGTACACCATGTACCTCTGAACTGTAGTGAGTAGAAGTACACCATGTACCTCTGAACTGTAGTGAGTAGAAGTACACCATGTACCTCTGAACTGTAGTGAGTAGAAGTACACCATGTACCTATGAACTGTAGAGGAGTAGAAGAACAAAGTAGCAAAACATTGAAATACTTAAATAAAGTACAAGTATCTCAAAATTGTGCCCAAGTATAGTAGGCTACTTGTTGAGTTTATGAACTTAGTTACTTTACACCATGTGGCTATAAAGATAGAAAGACTAAGCCTTGCACAGAGGCATGAAAATACATTTTCAAAATGCTCAACAGTGCTGCCAAAATTATAAACTGACTGCTACACAATTTAAAATAAATGCTTTTATATATTTCTATTAGATGTGACTCTTTGGCGTTTCTGTTATTATTAACACTGCTGCTTTAGTTGTTCTGACTGCTAAAATCCTCTGTTATTCCTAATTTTAAAGCCGATATTCTGTGGGGTCAGGGGGCTCGGATCCTTGTCACCTTTTTCATAAAGATGAGTTTGCATCCCAAAGCCTCAGTCACCTTAATTCATGTAATAAAAACATCTCAGGTCAGTAACACT